TATGATGCAAATGTCCCCTATAAAAGTAAGAACCCATACCACCCACCCATACCAACTGACTCATTACTAGCTACACTAACATAGCAGTTTTATTACATTGATTTTGGCCTGGATACTGTCCTGAAAGCAAAGATGTGAGGCAACCTTAGACCCTTTCCATGTTTGTGTGTAGGAGCTTTGACAGTTTGCACTTGGGGTCATCTGGCAAAAAACAAGGGAGGCTCAAGCTTTGGGACCTCTCATTGATCGTGTCAATGACTCCATGGAAAAGGAAAGCAAAAACAATAAAAGGCTTGCCGCCAAAGTCGGCTGGCTCACACCAGCCAGCGAGGGAAACTGTGTGAATACTTAATTAGTCCAGCATGTGACTAGTCCTGCTTCTCACAGCTCGGTGCCCGTGACTGACAGCACGCCAAACCTTGAAGTGACAAGGAGCAGGGGAGGTCAGGGAGGAGGGAGGGGGAGAGGAAGCAAGGGGAGCTTCAGTGTGTCCACTTGTCTCACGCGATCTGGAATCACTGCAGCTCCTCACATCATTGTGCTTTCATCCAGCCTGTCCTGCGTCACCTTGTAAGAATGCAATATATCCACCAACTTGGAAGTGAAGCTGTGTGATAATTTGATACTGATAAAAATCTGCTTTCATGACAGTGAAGGACATAATGATGGGCTTAGCTTTCAAAGTGAAAATTTTTTATGAGACCACAGCCGAAGAATTGAATCTGTCCGTCAATCACAATAAAATGCTGATTCTCTGGGGACCTCCAGAGAGGCTTTTGAAAATGCAATTCATCTTCATGATGAGTTTCCATCACATTCAAGAAAATTGCAGCAGTCGTTACTGCCATAGCACGCCTCTGCACTTCTTGCAACTCTTTGTATATTTGTGGTTTGTGTCACAATCTCAATATTTAGCTCAGCACAAGACTCGCAATTTATCATTCTTTTGTGACCCTCCTGTATAAGACTGATTTCCAGCACAGATAACAGGATTAAAGAGATATGTGAGTAATAATTCTGTCCCCTGGCTCTTTAGTAAACAAGCATTTTTTCCTATTATCTTTCCCTGATGAAATATTTGCTGAAACAAAGAATACAATGAGAAACAAGTCCCAAAAATTTCCTGGACATTCCAGAGCTCCAGCTCCGAAGTCTGCTTTCCTCGCGTCTGCCGTCAGTTACTGTGGATCTCTGCCATGGAATTCTTTGCTCTCCTAAATTAAACCCTTCACCAGGCCCAGCTGGTTCACAAAGTAGAGAGAAGGGGAGACGGGGGGGGGAGACACAACGTTGGAGAGGGAAAGAAGCGAGCAGACACTTCTTTCACTTCTCACGTTTGGCTTCCTTTCGGTTGCTGCTATTAACACCTCGTGTCTGGTCAGCACAACCTCTTAGACGCCGAGTGGAGAGGAAAGAGTGAGACGAAGAGACAGGAATGGAGAAACAGTGAGAGCAACAGTAAGAGAAAAGATCGAGAGCCGAAGACATTGTTTTGATTAATATCTCTTGTATTCCTCTGGTCCTGAAACAAAGAATTACCTTACCTAACCCCAACGGAGAATGAGCAAGAGATTGAAACCAGATACTTCTGTTCACACTGGCTCACATCCATCACTTGTACTGGACCCGAGTTCGAGAACATGACTGGTGACTGAGTGAACTAGCCATTCTGTCTGGACAGTTTTATTCCACATAGCGATGCGGATGGCGGAGTACAGCAGGAGGCAATGAATATGGCTGCCTGTCCCTCGTCACATGTTCATTCCACTGAAAACAAGGGTCCTTCTTTGCCAGAGAAGGTCTAGACTTGTATTTACTTGTGTGTTCTGACTGAGATCATTCTCAAACAACACAACCACAAATGAATCACCACTGTTGAGCAATGCTCAATTATTCACAGCCACGCCATCCCCAATTTCACCTCAACAACCTGCTTGTGCACTTGTCACTGCACAGCTGTGAAAGCCAGTGGTCTTTTCTGAATGGAAACTGGCTAGTAAACTATGTTTCTGTCACACTTTTTTTCTTTTAGAAATCTAAATGGAGGAAACTATGATGCATTGCAGTACCGCATCACTTGCCTTCCAGTTTCCTTGGCCCCCAGACCTCCCTCCTGTGTAGTATTGGGTTTCTGTCCCTTCCATCTTGTATTTGGAGTATTGACCTTTTGTCGGGTTCCTTTGTCCAAGGTCCAGATGCAGTTGGGTTTCAAGTGGTCTCCTGGGCTTCCTATTTCGGCTTGAGGGTCACTGAGAAAATTAGGCACTGCATTAGTGTTCAGAAATCCTTCAGGTTGTCAGCAATCAACTAAATACTGGGAGCCGCACCAAAGAAAAGTGATGATTGGATATCGGGGTCATGGTGCAGACTTTCCATGTGTGTGGTTCATGACAACAAACAACATTGGTGTAGACTTCCAATAATGTGTGAGCTAAGACAGGCATATTTGTGTGAGCTGACATGCTGTAATAATAGTAGTCCAACAAAAGCATGCTTGTTTGAGCTTACAAGATGGTGTAAATATGGCTAAACAGAGAGGTTTTGTCCAAAAACTCTACCCTCCCTCTCCCAAATATACAATCAGTAGATAGATGCCAAATTGACAAAGGACCAGATTTTGTGAGCACGTCCTCTCGCTTTGACCTTGAAAATATACAATTTCCTTTTTTTTTTTTTTTTTTTAGATGGGAGCGATTTTATTCTCCCAGTATCTCATGATGTCAGAACTACAGAAAACAAAGCTCCTTTTCCGTTCCTTCTTGTCTAAACTCTCGGTCACACCTTCTCAGACTGACTTCTGAGCGTCTGCATTTTGTCTCGTGATCTCAAATCAGAGAGTCGAGCTCAACGTGGCAGGTGCTGGTCGAACACGACTGCCAGATCCAGGCTGGGTTATGCACATGTGAGCACAGGTGGGCCAGATGATGGATGAATAAGCTAACAGTCTCCACAGTCCCGCCTGTCTTCACTCTTTCTTCATGTTTTTCTTCCACTGACACGCATAATCTCTCTGTTGCACAGACTGTGCTGTGTATTTCTAAAACTTACACCGAGAAACACTTCAAACTGGTCGATCAGACTTGCTATGAACCAGAGGCTTGACCAGATGGAACAGTTTTAAAGGTGAATTTCAAGCCAGACTTGGTCATTTCAGGAGGTTTAGGCATCAGCAGTGTTCCGCACATCTTGTGTTTTGCGTCCTTTACATTTTACAGCATGTAGTGCTCACTGATAAGACTGAGTCCGCCTGTCAACATAAGAGACAGTGCAGAAGGGGAAAACCCCAGTTCATTCTGATTTATATGAGAATTGATTACTTGTGATTACTCTGAGGTGTGTCGGAGGATGGTTGAGCAATCGAGGAGAATCAAGCTGAAAGCTTTGAAGGAGATGGATTATCGCAAGGACGCTTAGCTTAGTGTCTGGGCTCGCATTGCATGCTCTGTCAGCTTGCCAAGCCCTTGGCAAGGTCAGTGCCCACATTTGTTTTGACTAGGTCATGAAACTCCACACTCCATCTTTCTCTCCCAGCACATTCCTCCCCCTCGTCGGTATCATTACCTGCACCCTGCAGTTCGCTGGACCGACTCCAGTCTCTTACCCTCCGCTCTGATCGCTCCGGCTCGCTCTCTCCCTCGTTCAACTTGTTTCCCATGCTTAGTTGTTCTCACCCCAGATTTTTTGGCTTACAAGTATTGATGAAAATAAATTCCTTGGTGGACTAGCTTGTTGGCAGCGCTCAAATTTCTTCTGGTTTCAAAAACAGTCATTACTCCAACCCGTTTGTCTCTGATTGGAGAACTTGTTCAACTCACAGCCACTTTTAATTCACCTTTGAGAAATACAACTCTGACAGTAATGTTCCTAACATGCTCTAAAACATTCATTCCCATAAGTTAGCCCTAGAAAATAGGCATTTATCACTTTGGCAGTTATCTGGAGATACTTAAGTTCAACTTAATGCATCTAGATGTGAATAATATTACGCCTTCTTTAAGCATTTCGCTTGAATTATAACGTGTTTTGAAATGTTTGACATGTGAAAGTTAGGGAGACATGTCCTATTGCATTAAATTACCATTTGTTAGTTTGATTTGGACATTTTTGATATGTCGCTCCCAAAGGACAGTGGCAGTTGATCTTGTAGTTCTCACCAGTCAGTAAACCCAACAAAGTAGGCCTTTGTGTAAGTCTTTTCCACCTGAGTTTGACAATGACACTTGTAAATATGCTTGTTAAAGACTCGTGGCTGTGATAAAGCACAATTTGGTTTAATATTTACTAAAGTTATCCACACACATGTACTTATTTTCAAGATCTTTCAATCGAGTCTTTTCCAGTTGTTAAGCAGGTGGCGAGCATTTTATTTCATGCTCTTTCCTCTTTCCACACTTTCTTTCCATTTCCCTGTATTCTTCTCACTTTTTTTCTTCTTCTTCCTCTTTTTTTCATCCTTGTCAGCAAGCAGAAACTCCTGCTGGGATACAACTTTATTTATGCGTCAAGTGAAACCAAAAGCTTTTGCCACCCATAGATTAGTTTGGGTCCTCTGGTCTCAGAAAGAACATATTGCTCCCTCCAGTGTTTAGAATACAGAATAACCAGATCGAGAACCCCATGTATGTCTCAGTCAGTGGGATTCAGGTGTGTCCCCTGCTCCCCAAGTACAATCTTTGGCTCTAGAAACATACGCCTGAGTCAAGTTTCTATCAAATGTAATTAAGCACAGAAGATATCGCGTCTTTTGCCATGTAATTTATTTTTGTACAATACACTGCACTTACAGCTCCTGGTAAATGTCCTGATGAAAGACTGATTGATGGCTTATTTTTCTTGAAGGATAATTACTGCTGAAAACCCCCCACAAGTAACTCATTGTAGGCAAAGTGAAGAAAACTGTTTCTCAACTTTGTCCTCATCTATAGCTTGTTGTACAGTACACTTCACTTTGTTTGTTTCTCTCTGCTCTGCTGCTTCATTATCATTTTTCTGCTATCCAGGTTATGGAAGTCTAGGAGCTGGAGGTTTTGGCGGCGGTGGACTGGGAACTGGAGGCTATGGAGGAGGTGAGTACTTGTAGCTTCGAACTGAAACTGGAATTGGTGCTGTGCGTAAGAGTTAAACTCACCTTCCTTTAACCTTTTGTGTCATTCAGGTGGTTATGGCGGATATGGCGCAGGCGCTGGTGGGTTTTTCCCAGGAGCTGGACAAAAGGCCGCCAAAAGAGGTACAGCAGAATTATCTGGGTAGAAATGTAACATTTAACAGTTTTTTCTTGATTTTTAAGCAAGCATTCCTTCAAAAAACGTTGTCAGTTTAGTAGGCTCTTGGGTGCAACACAAACTGAGTGTCCTCATGTGGGATGATGGATTTATGCACTAGGTTGTTGGAACCAGACACTGATTATGTTCCACTCACTTCTTTTGATTGCACCAGTGATATTATGTGTCTTTCCACTCTCAGTTCCCAAATTTGAAATATCAAAATATGTCAAATTCCAGGAGTAAGTAAGTAACTTCTTGGACTACAGTAAAAGATCCCCGAGGAGGTGGAAATGCCCTGGTGTGTCATTTAAACTTTAGTTTTAGAACCAAAAATATTTTCTCCTTCTGATGTTACACAAGATTTTGTAACTACAAACTACAGTGCCTGAAAAGTTCACATATGGTGAATGGTCTGCACTTTTTAACCAACATCTACAAAGGGCATTACAATGTGTTTCTCATACACCCAGTCACACACACACACTCGCAACATGCCATTAATGGTGGCATAGCTGCCATCGGGTGCAACGTAAGGATCAGGGTCTTTGGCTCAAGTCACCGACATTGTGATTAGTGGACAACTTGGTCTACCACCTCAGACATGATGACCCACGTGTGACGCATGAGTTATCAGCATAGGTATCATTCCTGTTAACTGTAACTTTACTGCTTTGAGTCTTATTTTACTCAGACAGATGTAGTTATTTGTCTTTGTACATGCTCCAGGAAGAAAACATTAATATCTCCGTGACTAATATTAAGCTCGCCTCAAGTAGTGTCTCAAATCCATTGCACCAAAAACACAATCTTTCTGATGAATTTCATTGATGAATGTTCTGCATTTTTAATATCAACAAACTCAGCTGAAACTCTGGTTTGTCCCACTCACAGGTGCAGGAGGCCCACTGCTACCACAAGGGGGTAAGCTCATATTTGGCCTACTGACAGACTACTGTACAGACATCAGACTGTGCTGAAAACAGACTGAAGCATTTTCAAACTTTGACAGATCTGCATGCTTGCATGTTATGAGAAAGCCAATATGAATGTTTCATATTAATGGTAACTCAGCATGAAAACACTGCTTGGCAAACATTTGTATATTTTTATCAAGTACTTGCAAACCAAAGACAGTCTGAACCTCAGCAGAGCCCAGCATGACCTTAAGGTCTGCGCTGTGTTCCTGCACAAGGTTTGCTTTAAATCAGGCCGTCTGATTGAGCATGAACTCAGAAGGGCTCAGTCATGGCCAGAACTGTACTCTGGCAAAGAGCCTACTCTTAAGTATTGGTTGGCAATGACAAAACTTCAGTCTGTAGAATCAGTCTGCACTGTTTTCATGACACTCAAAATAACAACCGCTTCCTTTGAAACAGCACAGATAAAACAAATCCTTCCCATGCCAAACTTTTCCTCACCAAATCTCCCAGACCACATACTTACAGGCAGTGCGCAATGTCTGTCCGGCATAGTATGGGGAATTTAAGATTAAAAATGAAAAAAAAAACCTTAAATAAATAAACGAATGTGTTTTATCCTGCTGCCAAGCTCCCTTATAAGTGAACCTGACAGCTCATTTCCTGCATGAGGGGATAGCCAAAGAAATGAGGCATTTGATGAGGCAAGGAACATGCCATGCATGCTGACTGCCTCTTCAGATTAGAGCAAAAAGTCAGCCATGTTGCTTTTGGTCATGAGGTGATGACAAACTGGTGAGCCAGATTAGCTGCTCTCAATACCACTGACCAGTTAGCGGATCTGGCACAAGCTCATTATGTTTTTTCAGTGTCACTAGGCCCTCTAGTGGTTGCAGGAGGTAGGTGTCACGTAATCTCATGCTTGGATTTCAAATTTGTCATGACTCTTAAGTGTGTTCTTGACTCCACTTTAACTGAATGCAACTTTAACCTCAAATCTGAAAATGTTTATATATGTTTTACATTTGTGTCTGGACCTTTTATGAACAGGGGTTGGAGGAACAGGAGGGGGGCCTGGAGGCGCTGGAACTGGAGCTGCAGTGCCGGCTGGAGGTAAGACACACACAACACATCATTTTTCCCATTTTCTCATTTTTCAGCCACCATTTGCGTGTGTTGTTGTTTTTTTTTTATTGAAAAGTATATTTCAATCTCAAATTGGCTCTTTGTCAGATACACTGGAATTGATTTCTCTGACGAAAAGCCAGTTTGGGCTCCAAACAAAGAACTTCTTCGACTGTAATAAGGTCACACATTTAAAGAGAGCCATTAACAGCTTTGCAAAATCATTGGGAGACATGAATCACAGTTATAATTGTTTTGAACTCAGCACCTTTTCAGGCAAGACGTGTGTATGTTTTTGCACTGTATATTTGTCATACTTTTCTCAGTGAGCTAAGTAACAGTTTATGGGTTTTTTTGTTTTTTTTTCAGTGCCTGTTATTCCTCAGACTGGTCTTCCAGGAGGGGCTGCTGGAGGTGCAGGAAAGAAAGCTGCCAAAGTGCCAGGTTTTGTAGACTCAACAATAAACTTATAAAGCTGAAGGCAGACAGGATACAGTTCACTTGGCAGCAGTGCCACATCCAGTTCATTTTCCATTGCATGTAGCAGGTATTTGGTGCGGCTAAAAAACACCTTTTACATATACCATTTTTTCCAACATAATTAATAGTTTTACAAATAAAAAAATAAAACAAAATAAAAAAGATGCTTTAATGAGGGTCTTGGTGAGTTTTTGGGTTTTTTTGCTTCTGTAACATTTGTCCTCACTGTGGGCTCAGCATTATAAAGTCCTATACCTTGATGGAAACAGCTTAGCCATTGCTAAAAGTGTCGAGAACTCAAAAATATATATGATATTACAATTTAAAGCGTACATATAGTTCATTTAAGATTCAAGAGTTTCTGGCTCAGAAAGATGTTGTATGTTTGACGTTTTTTTTAAGAGAACATATCTTTCAAACCCACTGGCAGTTTGGGGGTTCCAAGGGTTAAATACAGCAGAGATCCAAAGTGCTTTACAGAGCAAAGAGAAACAGAACAAAAGACAGCAGAAGACAAAGAAAAAATATATTGATATACTGTATTATTCTGATCTGTGGAAAGCAAATACGATTGCAAGAATTCTTCTTCTTATATATTTCCGAAAGTTTTTCTTTAAAAACTTTTAAAGTATGTTTTGTGCAAGTTTTAACTCAAACTTAATCAAACTTCCGATACTGTAATCTCTCCGCAAACGTAGATTTCGCTGATAATATATAACACGAACAGCAAATTATTTTTATAAAACACGTGTGAACTGAGGTGCTTTCTTATGGCTGAAACCTTGTGAAAAATGACCCCATTTCATTTAAATGTGATTACTGCCCAGTTTTTTAACTGCTGAAATAAAAGGTGAAGCCTTAGCATGCACTGTATAACTCTTTCACTTGTTAATGTGAAGCCAAACACAGCAACACTTCTCCAAATACAGTAAGTGGTTGCATCAATCACAATAAGAATATATTTAATAAATAAGACAACAAGTAGCCAATTTTCTTTTCTGCATCCTGTTTGGATTCATTATGACAGTTTTTGTGGTTGATAGGTATTTAATTTTCCTGGTTAACATTATTGTGCACGGCCCACCAAAGATCCCTGCCTTACATATTGTATTTTACTGGGGTTGTAAAAGCACATTATTGTTTTCTCATTGGCTGTTGCAGGTGTGGGTGTGCCTGGACTTTACCAAGGTGGATTGGTGCCAGGAAAAGGTTTGTCTCTTTCATTCATTAATCCAAGGTACTATTACTACCATGTGAATTGCCAGTGCTTTTAGAAACAAGTATTGTGCACAGATTTTATGCAACTCTTCTCTGGTTGCTCATGGCTCCTCCAGGGTTTGGTGGACGTGGAGTTCTTCCTGGCGTGGCCACTGGAACTGACCTTAATCCCAAATCAAGTAAGGATTCATTTTTTAACCCATGGTTGCAGGTTGATTTATGATTCTCTCACTGGCAAAACACACCATCGCAAAAGTGAATTAATACATAAAAAGTGACATTGTACCGTACATCCAAAGATGTTCCCAATCTCTATGCAGCTTATCCAAAGAGTAATGCCATGTAACATGGAAATATTTATATTTTTCCTGTGCAGTTGGAGGAGGAGGACAAGGAGGCCCAGGCCAAGGTAGCATTACCTGATTATTTAATTTATGTATTTGTTATTTTACAGAAATGTCTGTACTTTTGTCAGTATTGCTGGTATTAGTTTAATCTTAATATATAATCCTCCATCACAGCAGGCCGTGGGTATGGTGGACCAATGCAGCCAGGAGTGTTCCATGGATATCCTCTCAAATCCCCCAAACTGCAAGGTGTGATATGCATCTATACAGTAACTCTATATTTTATAGTGTGTAGTCTTTGGAATAATGATATGATGTGTTCATTGCTGATATTTAAACTTGGTTGATGTTACATTTAGTTTTTTTAATACAGCATACAGAATTTTTCCTTGCAGTAAGGCTTGACAGCCTGTGGGTAGCACCCTAAGGTTTTCTGTGGTGGACTTATCATTGGATGATTCTAAAAAACAGATTCTATAGGGCAGTTCTTACAATCAGAATACACACAAAGCATTAAGCATGGTAGTGGCAGCATCATGATGAGAGTATGCTTCTTGGCAGCAGGCCCCGGAAGGATTGTAAAGGTAGATGGTAAAATGAATGCAGTAAAGTACAGGGACACAGATTTTTTCCCCCTGCAAGACAATGACCCAAAGCATACAGTCAAAGCTACACAGAAATGGTATAAAGACAACCAGGTGAATGTTTTGGAGTGGCCGAGTCAGAGGCCAGACCATAATCCAAGATTTTGTGACTGGACTTAAAAAGAGGTTGATCAGATTTGCAAAGAAGAATGGTACAATTGCAATGTTAAGATGCTGTAATTGTGGCCAAAGGTGCATCTGCTAAATAACACCTTAAAAGTGGGGAATACTTTCACATTTGCTTATGTTGTGATATATATTTTTATTTAATTGATTAATTACTTTGTAGTAATCTCTTTTCAAATTAACATGGAAGAGTTTTATTTGGACATTCTTGACATAAAGTCATGTAACAATACTTATTGCTGAAAAGCAATAAAAATGGAAAACAATACAAAAATACTTTGTGTAGGCACTATTTACTAAAACAAGGGGTTTTAGGGTACATGGAAAATGTATTAGATGTATTGAATTATTTTGACAGCTGATGAATTTGGTACACTGGACATTTGAAAATGAGAATTATCCAATCATTGCATGCTGATCAATAGTTTTGAACAAGGACTATATGTTAGAGGCTAAACATGCTTCACAGGTTTAGCACCGCTGCAGCCACAAGAAACTTCGCTGTTTACAAATACACTGTAAAATTCCTCAACAAAATACTTGGCAATTATCTTTTTTGTTGTTGTTGTTTTTGGGTTTTTTTTTTTTTACTTGTCCTTACCAACCTTCTCAGTAGCATTGGGAAAAATTAATTCATGCGTTTTGAAGGAATTTGTACTGTGCATGACCAAGTTAACAGCATGCAAGACATTTATACTGCAATTAACAGTGGGCAATGACTGGTAATTTTATTTAAACATGTTATTTAAACACTTTGTTGCATATGAACATGTGTGCAGACAGAGTCATGCTTATTCATCTTCTTATCTGTTTTTACTCTTCAGGGGGCTATGGTGCAAAGCCTGGAAAACTTCCCTTTGGTACAAATACTTTGTCTACATTTTTTTGTGGAAATTTGGCATCAGTTCAAATCCAGTAGTCATGAGGTGATACATTATAATATGTGTTTTAGGTTATGGGGGATTTGGTGCTGGTGGAGCTGGACTTCCAGGAGGACAAGGTGGCCCTGGGGCAAAGCCTGGATATCCTGTTGGAACTGGTGTGTGTTTTTACAAATTTTCTGTTTAATGTTGCAGAGTAAAACATTTTTTTTAAAACCCAAAATGTCTTTGTTTTTTTTTTCTTTTTGTTCTGCAGGAGTGGGTCCTGGGGGAATCTCACCTGCTCAGGCTAAAGCTGCAAAATATGGTAGTCCACACCGACTTAGGACAATGTTAATTTATCAAGAAGAATATGACAAAAAATGTGTTACATCAGTATAAAAAATGTTGTATGTGATGACTGTGCACTCTGCTCCAGGTTTGGGTGGTGTTGGAGGTGTTGGAGGTGTTGGAGGCGTCGGTGGTGTTGGAGGTGTTGGAGGTGTTGGAGGTGTTGGAGGTGTTGGAGGTGTCGGTGGCATTGGTGGCACTGGTGGACTGTACCCAGGGCAGGTGCCAGGAGGTATATTATCCAGTAAAAGACAAAACTAAATTCTGTCTATAACCATACTAGCAGTGTCATGTTTAAAAATACATCACACTGTCACTAATAAATTTCACACTTTGCCTTCCTTTAGTCTTACGAGTACGGTCTAACCAAACACATTTACTTCCATTAATCATATACTCTGTTTTTGATATATGCAATTGGTTGTAATATTGTCTTGTGTCTTCCTGTCTTCAAATACCTTAACCATAGGATATGGAGCTGGGTCCAAGGCTGCTAAATATGGTGAGAACATTTGTGTTTTTGTCTATAATTGCAGAAATCATACTGTAACACGTAGTTTTTCATACAATGAATCGTTTTGTAGGTGTCGAAAAACTAATGTAACTTTTGTATTAGTATCCTGTGTTGTGTAGAACTTATCAGTTTATATGGGAAGATTCCACCTGTTTGCTCTACTCGTGCTCCCTGAACAGGATTACCTGGAGGAGTGCCAGGAGGTGTCCCAGGAGGGGTACCTGGAGGAGTGCCAGGAGGCTTCCCGGGAGGGGTACCTGGAGGAGTGCCAGGAGGCTTCCCAGGAGGGGTACCTGGAGGAGTGCCAGGTGGCGTCCCAGGTGGGGTTCCTGGTGGAGTGCCAGGAGGAGTCCCAGGAGGGGTACCTGGAGGTGCACCAATTGGAGTTTCACCAGGGGTCGGATATTCACCAGCAGCCAAAGCTGCTAAATATGGTATGGCGTAAAAATGTTATTCCAAATACTGTTTTTTTTTTTTTAACATAATGTTAAATGATATGTCTCAAAAGCATACAGTCATTTTTCTTTCCCCACTTTTACCATATGTAATGAAGGCCTAGGAGGGACCGGGGGGCTGGGAGCAACAGGTGGACTGGGTGGAGCAGGATTGGGTGGAACCGGAGGACTGGGAGGTGGAGGATACTCTGCTGCTGCTAAAGCTGCTAAATACGGTATGGTATTTGTTTGATTATTTATTTTTCTTAAACAAATGGAAAATGTGATTAGCATTAACCATGCATACTCTTGCGTAACCACCACTACAAGTAAAAGGCAAGCGTGTCAAGAACTCACACAGATCAGAATAGCTGGACACAAATGCTGGACACAGATAGGGTTCAGGCAAAAAGGCAGGTTTATTACCGGTCAGGGTTTGGTACACAGAAAATCAGTCAGAACAGGCAGAAGTATCCAAGAGGCGAGAGACAAGGTCCGAAAACAGAAGCAAGGTCGTAACAAAACAGACTGTGACTATGGCTATGGAAACGCTGATACGAAGACTGTGAAAGTGTGACAAACTGACAACGAGACTGTGAGACACACAAGGTAATATACACGAGGTAATGAGGGGAGATGGGAAACAGGTGAGGGAAAGCCATCAGGGAGCAGGTGTGACGAGACAGGTGCAGGAAGTAAAACTAAGACAGAGACAACCGCTTAGTGTTTACAAAATAAAACAGGAAAGACAAGACATCAAATGTGCAGACATGAACAGGAACTTGACAGACATGACAAAGTGGTCCTGGATGACTGACAATCTACAAAACTAGTGAAATACTAATTATTCTCAATACCAGCAAACTTATTCAATTTCTACTATATTAAATTGTATTTCCTGTGGAAATTAATTTGTCTTCCACAGGAGTAGGAGGACGAGGAGGAACAGGAGGACTCGGAGCAGGGGGACTTGGAACAGGAGGACTCGGAACAGGAGGACTAGGAACAGGAGGACTTGGAACAGGAGGACTCGGAACAGGAGGACTGGGGACAGGAGGATACCCTAGTGCTGCCAAAGCTGCTAAATACGGTAAATAGAGATCAATATTATACAATATCAGAACTTGTTACTTGGTTCTTGTGGGTGGATCTGGGTTCTAAGCAGCAGTGCACAGTGACATGTGAGGCAAAGAACACCAAAGGCCATTAAAGAAGACAACTAAACCATATACAGTGCATAATTTATCTTGTTTATTGCTGCCTTTAAAAAGCCTAGCTACCATCGTGACAATGCTCATTTCCTGTGAAATGGTAAAGGCTTGCATAAGGCACAGGAGCCATTGAAAATACAGGCAGTAACTGCTCAGAGGAAAAAGGATGAAATGTTAACTCTTAATTGTTCTCAATACCAACAAACTATTTTGCTATATTAAATCATACTGCCAACTTCCTCTGGAAATATATTTTTTTTCCACAGGAGTAGGGGGACTAGGAGGAGCAGGAGGACTGGGAACAGGGGGACTAGGAACAGGGGGACTAGGAACAGGAGGACTAGGAACAGGAGGACTAGGAACAGGAGGACTTGGAACAGGAGGACTAGGAACAGGAGGACTGGGAGGTGGAGGATACTCTGCTGCTGCTAAAGCTGCTAAATATGGTAAGTGAAATTTAATCTGAGAAAAATACTACATTACTGAATAATGGATTTGAAGTAGTGTTTTTAGGTGAGTATGCATGGCTATATGACTCCTTTTTTTTTTTTTTTAAATCAAAGGTCAAGGTGGTGCAGGGGTAGTCCCAAGTGGTGGTGGAGGTAGAGGGGGAGTTCCTGGAGGCTCATTTTTACCAGGATATGGCTGTAAGCATGCCTCGCAGAATTTTAATCTACACAAGCAATGATAGTATATTAGTACTAAGATCATTGTTTAATTTAACCTTTCTGGGCCTTATTCTTTTGCAGCTTTGGCGGCTGGTGCCAAACCTCCTAAATATGGTGAGATTTTGATATTTACAGTTTGACACATTGTAATGATGTCACAAGATGTAGCTTGATGTATCCCTCTTATTCAGTGCTGTTATACTCACTGATGTATATGTGTAACTTACCGTTATATAAATCCAGTGTTACACGTTATACAAGTTTTGGAAAACTGCATCTTAAATTCACCAGTAACTTTAACTTAATTTGCAAAAGTGACAATGGAAGTAGTTAATAAATTGTCCCAATTGACAGGAGTCCCTGGAACTGGCCTGGGAGGAGGGGGATTCCCTGGGGGAGCAGGGCAGGTACTGCCTGGTGGTGGCCTTGGTGGTAAGTTATTAAACTGCTTTCACTTCAGTCTTCACTTTTGAGTTTAGTGTCTTGCACAACATGAGGTCTTCTGCTGTTTTCTTCATGATAATTCTGTATGATCTAAAAACAAACTTCATTCACAAATATTATGCTGATTGCTCACAGGGTTTGGAGGTGGAGCTGGAGTCAAACCCCCAAAATATGGTAAGGTTTTTCATTTGTTTGTATTTTACTGCATTTTCACAGAGTTTTTTTGTTACAGTGTACTTTTTTAACTATACTTTTGTAATAATAGTAAACTATTGATAAGAACCTGATCTATTTTCCTTAAATAGGAGTTGCAGGAGGAGCTGGAACAGGTTTAGGAGTTGGTGGACTGGGAGTTCCAGGGGGCGTTCCAGGAGGGGTTCCAGGAGGAGTTCCAGGAGGAGTTCCAGGAGGAGGACAATATTCTGCTGCTGCGAAAGCAGCTAAATATGGTAGGTGACTTGAGAATCAACTCATCCTGTCTAAGAAAGAAAGAAAGCAACTTTTAGTAATCACAATTGTCATTTCTCACTTTACACAACACAAGCCATTGATATATTTTACTTACTGCAAATCAATGATGCTACTTGCTATTTGCCTGAATAAGGAATTGCAGGAGGTGCTGGAGGAGGGTTAGGAACAGGAGTACTCAGAGGAGGAGGAGTACCAGGAGGAGTACCAGGAGGAGTACCAGGAGGAGTACCAGGAGGGGTACCAGGAGGAGTACCAGGAGGTGGACAATATTCTCCTGCTGCAAAAGCTGCTAAATACGGTGAGTGAAATGAGCACACAAATACAGTCAGAGACACTTCCTTCTGATTCTGTAACAGAAGGGATTCGGCTTTTTGAAACTAAAAGTGTAGCTACTCACTTAATATAATCCTATTCACTGATTTAGTTCATAACCTGCAAACTAATAATGGAACTTGATGTTTGCCTGAATAAGGAGTTGCAGGAGGTGCTGGAAGAGGACTGGGAACAGGGGTGTTCGGAGGAGTAGGAGGAGTAGGAGGAGTAGGAGGAGTACCAGGAGGTGGACAATACTCTGCCGCTGCAAAAGCTGCTAAATATGGTAGGTGACTTCAGAATCAACTCATTCTATATAAGAAAGAATGAAACTATTAGTAATTACGTTTCCGGTTTCTCACGTTACACACCAGGCATTGATATTTGTCACGTACTGTAAATTAATAATGCAACTTGCTATTTGCCCAAATAAGGAATTGCAGGAGGCGCTGGAGGAGGGTTAGGAACAGGAGTATTCGGAGTACCAGGAGGAGTACCAGGAGGAGTACC